TACGCTACTTTCATATTTTGTCTGTGCAGTTGGCAAATCAAATGGCTTATTTTACATAATTTAATTTGTCAAAATATCGTGCTTATTATTATATTATGGCCAATTAATAGCTGTTTTGCAGTAATAAATATTAAAAACTTTAAATTGTTGTGTATTAAATGTATTTTTTATTTGTTTTCCGTCGATCTTGTTTTAATGCTAACGACGCCACCTCCCACACCTAGACCCTACCTATCGACCCATCAACTCATGAACCGGGGACCAACGGCTTTATTTCCCTTCCGAACGAAGGCGTGATCAGAGATGTTATGCCTCAGAACATCCCGGCGGCGCCGACTGGGATTGAACTCAGGCCTGCTGGGATGAGAGATAATCACGCTCCTCACTACACCACCGGCGCCGCTAAAAAATATTTATTCAGTTTATAGACATTTTGCTTTAAAGAATAATTAATTCAATTGTGTTGATGTAAAACTAGTATTACATATGAAGTGCTGTTATTCAACACAGATCAAGACAATTTTTAAATAAGAAAATTTCAAATAGTAGTAGCTACAATCATGCATCATCATCATCATCATCATCTTTATAAGCAAAATTTCTTGCAAGTTGCTAGTTTACGTGAAAAAGAAGTTTACATACACCAATATAATTCATATTTTTTTGTGTAGATATAAGTTTTTTTTTCCTCTGTTCGGGACCTAACAGTACTGCGACCAGTAAATTGATCTATTGTAGTATATCCCGTGTCCTTAGTTAAGTGCATGTCGTATTACTCCATCACTATTCAGAAATTATGAAGTATTCGATTTTTTTTATAGTTGCCACTCTTGCATTTATCGCAAGGATCCGACTCTAATTGAAAGGTCCCGCTATTTATACCCTTCGGAATGTTGGCCAAAGGCGCGCCCCTTTGTCAGTCAAAATTGGATTCCTTAGCAACAAAATTATGGTATGACACCGATAATTACCATGCATCAGAACCCTAGTCTTAACCACTTCAAACTATGGAACAACGAATAGAAGATTAGGAATCACATAGATGAAGACAACTAACTAATTTTTTTCCTTGTTTCAAGATCATCGTCGGTAGGCAAAGTCGAGTTTTGTCACAATCAACAAGGCATAAAAAGTAACAAGGACTAAGATGTGTTCCTTGGATTACTGAAAAATCCTGTTCCCCTAGTTTGAAGTAGTCAGGACTAGGAATCGGTGGTAGATCTTACATCCCGTAACGTACCACGAAAAGGTGATTTACCTACGTTACGGGGCAGTTAATGCACCAGAACCTAGACGGACACTTGAGCCTACCCAGGACCTGGTGAGGACCTGGATTCGACCACCCATGTGAGTTTAGAGTATCGCACAAGCTGACAAGTGCAACGGGAAGGACGGTAGGTGCATAAACCTGAGGGTTGGTCCCTAGATGCGCCAACTTGGCGGAAGGCACAGGATATGTACTGAAGAATTACAATTACAATTTGGGAAAACTGAGGTGGATTTTGAAGGAATTTTCAGTAAAACCCTGAATTCTTATATCATTACATTCTTTTATAACAGATAAACAGACGTAACTCTATATTCCCAGTCATCGTACATCCATTTGACGTTCACCTCAAACATTGTTAATTTCACAAATCTCCTACCACAGTGTTTTGACTTTGACTTTTATATAAATTCTAAAGAAATTGTATGCAATATTGTTTGCGACGAAGCAAAAAAGATTTTTTCCACGAGATGTCGTTAGTGAGCTTTGTGATGATAGTTTGAAAAAGGTTGTTCAAAATATCTGTTTGTCTGTGATTCGAATAAAAATTCCCAGACAACTGTGAGGTTAAGTTCATTGGAATTCTGAGAATAAGTCCAAGGGTTTTGTTTTAATTCTAAAGAGTATACCGAGCAAATTAAAAAAATATTTTAAGGGAGTTTTAAATGTACTTATTGAACGCAATTTGAGAAAATTGTTGTAGGATGACTTCCTAAAGTGTTCCAAAGAGAATCAGAATCTGAGACTGTAATGGAGAAAATTGCAAAGGGCTGCCAGAGAGAATCAGATTGTTGTGAGGCATCTTGAAAGAAACTCTGAAGACATTTTGGGATGATTCTAACCAATTTTATAATAAAGTTACAAAGATCCTGTGAAGACTTCCAAAGAAATTATATAGTTAATTCAGATATCGAATTTTTTTAAGCTTGCGCACACTGATAATTAATCCAGGATTCAGACTTATTTTTAATTACTTACTTCGATTTGTTTTCGATCTATCGGTATATGAAAAATGTGCTCCATTAACCAGAATTCGATCAAAAGGAGTAAATTTTTTAAAGTTGCAATCAAATTCCCGGTTATTTCTCAATTTTTTTCCCTGATGTGAACTATTCCCACTTAAATCCCGGTTTACCCAGTTCAGTGGCCATCAGTGTTGGAAAAATATCAAAAAATCAAATGTCACCAATGCCCAAGATCACGCTTGCTTTTCGTAGACAAAAATCAACAAGCAAGCAACTGTGTATGATATTACGAGCTGTGATATCGTAGCTACGAATATCAAGTTAACAAAGCTCACTAGCTACAATTCTAACCAAACCGTAGTGAGTTTGAGTTTCATGATTTATGATTTACATCCGAACGCGACCCGAAACTACCGTTACTGCTGACAGCAGTAGTTTCGTATCTGCCATCGGTGAAGAGTAAAGAGAGATAGCAAACTATACTTTCTCTTCTTAAGAAAACGATGTGCAACGGAATCATGTTTGTGTCGAATCAACTCTCAGCTCAATTTTATATGTTGTGAATAGTCTCGCAATATTTTGTTCGAATATCACACGTGATATTTTCATTTTCATTTTGCAGCGTTTGGTGGGGCAATGGGAGCGCAAGTCAATTCAAAGCCGAGGATAAAGGCTAGTTGCCTCCCTAAGCGGACCCTCCGCATCCTAACTCTTTTGTTAATCCACTTAATGTTATTAGGCTGTCTAAATTTTCTTATTTAAGTTCGTTTGATGATTATGATATCTCATTAGTCTAATTTAATAAATTATTGAAATTTCTAATTTACCTAATCAATCATAACTCATACTTTATTAAGTACCTAAACTGCTATGTAATCTAAAATTTAACGTATTTCAAGTAATTTTGACTTTGATCTATATTTATTATATCTTAGATCGACCCAGGTGACACATTCAAGTGACTAAAATGCTTCACATTGAAATTAGTTTCCTAGCTGATTTTTAAATTATATAGGGTATATGCTCCAACTACACTCACACGCTTCCACTATGTCGTCCCAAAAAATTTCGTATGCATATGTCACAATAGAAGCACGCCACAGTGGAAATCCCGAGTCATAGTTCAAACACTTATCCCAAATCAAAATAAAGCACATATAAGATTAGTTACAATACCATGTACAAAAATGGTGTTTAACATTGTTCCCTGAGTAATGCTTCAATGAAAACAACAATGAAAGCTTGTCACGTAAATAGAACGAGCACTGTTGGGCACTTTCTGAAATATTTCAATAGTATAATTCCCTTGCATGCCCAAATAAATCTATCTGCGTAAAAATAAATAAAATAAGAGTGATTTGCGGAAAAACCCGCCAGTATCGCACCCAACGTCAGTGCCTATACGTAAGCGTACTACAACGCGGCTTTCAAACAAAGGAGTAACAAGTGTGATACTATCACTTCAGGCTAGAACTTTGGTTTTCTCATGCAATGGTTCATCAGAGAGGGGAAGCTCAGTAATCCTGATCACATGCTCATGACGCTATTCTGTCACGGCATGAGCCAACGATGCCGGACCTAAACCAACCGTCTCCAACGCTCCACTATGAAGCATAAGATTAGGCCCGCCCACCAACGTCCAGGTTAAAAACTAGCCAAGGGGAGGGAGTTCCAATATCACGCGTGATATTGAGAGCGTATGAGAGCGCAACAATATAATTTGTATGATGATTTTGCCAACACTGGTGGCCAGCCTGAATTTTTTCCCCGAAGCTTCTTTTTATGCAAAATATGTGTAAATTAGAGCGGTTGTTTCTAAAAGACAATTTTATGTCAGTTTTTTTATTGGAAAACATAAAAAAAAGAAGATTCTTCAATAAAGAATGTGAACATGAAGGCATATCGTCTTTTAAATGGTGAAGGTTTAGAGAATGTTTTGTTCGAATGTTATTATAGCAAACACACTGCGTAATGTTTGTAATGCCTACAGTATTTTGATTTTTATCTAACTTTTTTGCAGAAATAATGTATTCAGAGTATACCGGAAAATAAATTGAATTGCATTTATAAACTTTATTGTTCTCCAATGTTCAAATCCCAAAAAAAAAATCGTTTAACTTTGAGTAAACATGTTCAAAGAAGCTTAGGCACTAGGATCGCCTGATGAATTAGATGCGAGCCTATTATCGAATGGCAGAATATATTATGTCAATATGAATTAAGATTCAAACTACTTTATGGTCCCGTTCAAAGTAAATAGTTGGAGCAGAAAACGATCTCGGCCTCCATGAAGGAGATGATACATGATACTTTTTCATACAGCAGGTTTTCGTTTTCTTAGCCGGCATCGTAAAAAGAAGAAAGAGGTATGACAAACTTTGCCGTGACGGGAGCTTTTATCTATGGTCAATTTCAACGACAGGGTAGCAATAAAAATAACACTTCCTTTAGTGTATATTCTCCTCTTAATACCGCTGCTGTTAGAAACAGCATACAGCCTAAATAAACGGTGTTATAAAAAAAGGTGAGTTCCTGTCAACAACCACTCGGTGGAAATTTCAGACGACACTAATTGTTATGCCTCATTTGGAATCTCTTGCACGTTATTATATGGAAGCTTACACTTAAGCGCAAAATGGAAGCCTTAATATTCTTGTCACCCGTGTAAGATCGTTATCGGACGCACAGTGCGCTCCATCTCCTCGTTGTTTAACATGGTATATACAAACAGAGAAAAGACACACATGTAAATATCCACAGCGACTTACCATTGAACTTTTGCGCTCGGATCCCCAGCACCGAAGACAGCTTCGAGATCGAGTCTTTAGTGTTCCGTTCCAGCAGTGTTTTGGCGTGCACTGCAAGCTTATTCTCTATCGTGTGTGTACAACAGGTGCCACCGGGCGGCACATCACAGTATCGTAATGGTCTGTCTGTAAGAAGAAAAAGAAGAAAAAGAGCACCTAGTGAGAAACCGTCTACCACATTGCGTGAAGATAAAGGTAATGAAACAGTATGGAAAAAAAAACTTAATAAAGGAATATTCTACACCACAAATCACAAAACCACATACCTACGTATGTATATAATGCCAATGATTAATATAACATTCAAACGCCGATTTCCCGCAAACTCACCAACGAATACTAACAACTTCATCTGACTGAAGAAATCACCCTTCAATATTGTAGGTTTGCATAGGTGAGTTTCGGCCTACAAGAAGTCGGTGATAGAAGTCATTGTTTACATTTGATTCTTAAGCCTAGAAGACGTGTTTGTCAAGAAACTAATAATTTACATGCACCATGGAGACATACAATGATACAATTTCGCGGACTCAGCAAAGTTGCAAATATTCTTAACCTCTCCTTCTAATGGTGAACCACAACTTTTCGGTCCGTCACATGTTTGTCAGTATACAATTAAACAGTCAGTATTAATTTAAGCTTCTCCGTCTGCTCATTATTCTCGTTCATATGTATATATTATTTAAAAATACTATTGTTGTTGAACAAAAAGTATTGTTAAAGAATTCGATAATTTTAATGATATATTTTTTGTTCTAGCACTTTTTTTTCAAAAAAACACATATTAGGGGCTGTTCATTAACTACGTAGACGGTTTTTTAGGATTCTTGGTCCGTGGATAATTGTCAACCCCCGCCCCCCACCCCACCCCCCTATACTGACTACGTAGTTTATGAACAGCCCCTTAGTATCTCAAAACAACGGAAAACCTTCTGGAAAGGAAAGGGTCAAACAAATTTGGAAAATTTGTATTATAATCTCTGATAGTTTACTGAATGACCTACGATGAAATGTATGTCTTCACGGTATGAGCCGTTTTTTTTTCCAACCTATAAAGTAAACCTACAATAAAATTTGCATCGCCCGTTTTGAGTGCAGTTTCCCAAAGATTACCTGTCTACATGTTTACAAAGAGGCAAAACACATAAAACAAATCATCCAACGCCTTATAGCGTCTAGGTACCGGACAATAGTTTGAAATGTAATCCATTAAAATCTCTCTTAATGACGTTGTCAATAAATGAATGGGGTCCCCGGTCGTCCAACAAGAAATGCGCGTTGGACCGTTGAAAGCGAGAACACACAGAGAAACTCCGAAAAAGGGAAGCCGAAATACATAATACATAGCGTTAAACAGCCACAAATCTTCATTCGACACGCTTGGTGTGTGGGTTAGCTTTCAATGAGCGTTTATTACGATTTATTGTTAAATTTACAGGAAAAACTGCGTTTAGTCAATAATTATCACGCCATGAAACTGAACAAATTTCAAACACGGTCAGTCATCACCGGAGCGATAAACAGCAGCCCGCCACCCCACTGAATAGGAATATACAACAAAGAAGAGCCCTAGACCTAGAATTTAGCACTGTTATTTTCAATTAAGTGTCGTTCAAGTACACTCGACTGCTCCGGTCCTGAGCCATTCTGCTGGTACCGTAGAGGAACCCTTGCCGGGAATCTGATTGAAATGTACCCATTTAGGAAATTGACTTTTCTTGGTTGTGATGTGTGTTGAATGTTTAACCAGCTGTTTTTGATTGCATTATTTGGGAAACGGAAATAAGTTCTTCCTATTCTTCTTGGTTAATACAATCGAACTGAAACAGGGAAGCAACTGCCTTTTCAGTTTCCTATTTCTAATTGATAAAAAAATTTCTTCAAACAACATTAACCCCACACTTTCTCCGGATGTTTTCAGAATTCTTCAGTTTTTGAAATTTTCGAATACCAACAAAATCCTAATGCTCAATTTATTCGACAATGTTTTGGCCGCTGAATATTAGTGCTGACATATTGTTTTGTGAATATTATACCAATAAATAAATATCCTGAAAAAATGTCCGTGTTAGAAAATTTTTGAATGGTAAGTATTCCTAAATTTTATCATTTCCAAGTATCCATAGCTGAGATAAGTGTAGAGAATGTTGAGCGGATGAAAGTTATTCTCACTCATTTAAGTATCCAGGAGCGAGGTAATAGGCGCTGCGTTGTTGGTTTCTATAATGGTTTGAAATTTTTGGAGGCATAGCTGTTTGGCCTAATGTCTCCTCTATCAGTCGTGATGGGGTTGGGAAATAAATAATTTTAGTTGCAGTACAGCTTATACAGGCAAAATTGGCTTATGCAGCTCCCAATTGTTTGTTGGGATTTTAGGTATAGCATTTCTTATCCTACCACTGGATGCCAATCAGACGCTGTTTGAGCCACACCTCCATCGTGAACAGACGCTCTGATTGGAGAGGCAATTCCTATTTGCCAAAAATATATACGACACCTTGCACTTAAAATATGATTACCAAAAAAACCTGCATAGTCGAGAGCAATAAACTATTGAAAATGAGCAATAGACTAGTGAAAAGAAACCAATTGAAAATTAAAAAGAAGCAATTGCAAATTAAAAAGCTGCAATATAAAATATATTTTTTGTCGGTAAAACAATGTTTCAATAATAAAAAGGTAATTGTTGTTGCTATTTTTTTAGGTTTTATTTGCACTTCTAAATTTTCAATTGCTTCTTTTCGCTATTCTATTGCTCATTTTCAATAATTTATGACCGTTATCGGTAAGGAATCAATGAAATCGACAAATATGATTTTTTATCATTAAATGTGGTTAATGGAACTAAGTCAGTACTACAGTTTTCTCATTTTTGAATAATCCACAGATTTTTTACCAAACAATCCCACAATTCAAAAACACAGTAAAACCTTACACACAGATTTTAGATTGCCGAAGTTCGGTAAAATGTTACTGGATTATTAAACAGCTGAGTATTCAGTTTTCAACTGAGTAGTTTTTTTCTTTAACTAAAAACTTGGTAAATGAAATGTCAAAAATTACCGTTTTAGTCAATAAAAGAATTGCTGGATTTTTTTTTATATTTATTGGTTTACATTTTTTACTGACTTCTTCAGTTTTTTTGTTACAGTCTTTTGATGAATAAATATTAATGAGTAATGAGTAAAATATTTCGGATTTTTGACGATTTTTATTAAAGGACTGTTTAAACTAATCCTGAGCTATAGCTTAAGCACTCAACGCTTCCTCGTGTTTCGGTCGGCTGGTTGCTTTCTTGGAGTGCCAGATTGCTTGCATTAGTCTGGAGCTCTACTACAGACAATTGAAAATGTTTGCTTCAAAGTCAATGGAACATCTGGAGGATGGTGTAAAGGAATTCAATTTACTGGTGAGATCAGTAATTTTGTAATTTCGTTTGATGACTGTTCCAGTAAAACATTACTGAAAACTCGGTGTTCTATTTTACTGAGTTGTAGTATGTTACCAATATATACGGAAAACATTAAAAGTATGTATGCAGACTTTGGTTACCTGAATTTCACAAAATTTGGAGTATAGTGGTCTAAATGATGCGAGTACTTTGTCAACGATCAAAACTGTTTACAAAATTAACGAGGTGTAAATAATTCTTTTGCAAAACAAGACCTTTGAACCAACTATGTATGTTCATTGTCAAGAATACCTACAAATAATGTGTCGCTAATAAGGCACAATTTTTGACTAATTTGCATAGTTTCTTACGATTCATGACTGGATTTGATTTTGTCCTAAGTCAACATTATTTAAATCTGGCGACACCAAAGTTTACACATAAGGAAAATATGTGACCCTTTAAAGAGGACCACTCACTCAATCTATTCACTTTATTTGTTACTTTTCCCACAATGCTTACATGCACTTCCAACCACCAACCACGGTCCCAACAAAGCAGCGATGAAGGAAATCCGAAAAAGGTACACACCGTAATTCGAGGAAGAATGCCAACACACAACCGACAAAGACAAACTACTGATAAATGTAGCATGTTCGCCTTTTTGCTTTGTCGCTTTCGGCACTTCTTCAATTATGTGAGAGATCTTTAGCGCACCGTGTGAGAAAATCCAGGAAATGCCAGACTCTAACGAAACCGGCCAACCCAATAACAGTGAGAGCGAGAGATCACCCACAGCTCCATGATTGTTTGGAAGAGGCTTGCACAGCTTTACGACTCCCGGCTGTCGTTTTATTTGAATCTGTTATCGTTTTATTCACCAGAGACTATATTTGCTGTTCTCAGTTTTTCTTCTTGCCAACGATCAGGAGTATTTGGAAGGTTGGTATTTCTGAAAAAAATATCTTTAAGTGCCATACAAAATCGAGACAGTTGTTAGTTGATAGTAGACAAATGTTGGCTTAAGTTTTAAAAAAGATCCCCAAAGTCAAAGTCATTTCCTGGCCGCCATGAAATTCACAACGTATAAAAATCGTTAAACGAGCATTAAACGATTCCTGACCATTACACTGCGATGATGCTGATTAGTAGATCTAAACTACGTGAGAACCGACCGAACACATAGGTCTATCTAAATGCAAAATACATTAAGACAACAATATGCCTAACAAAACGATCGACATCTTGCCGGATCTCAACGATTGAGCATGCCATAAGCAAGCTATTTATCGCTTGTTGATTGCTGGTATCCATTAAAATCTTAATTGAAAAATAAAAAATCAATTTAAGATCACGATGACGTGTTGTCTCACAAATAATGGACCCAGCAAAGTGGTGAAACGCAAAGCAAAGCTGGAACGCGTCTTTTGTGCGCTCTCTTCTCTTTCCACTTCTTGTGTATGTATGCGCGAACCGCAGTTTGATCAATCGTGGTCATTATGTCTTCATTACATTTTGATTGTGGTTTTCTGTAGCACTTTTTATTGACCTTAAATGAACTGCCTTAATATGTGAATATGGTATTTTCGTATTTTTATGCATACAATTCATGGACATTTAGTTTCTACTGCGGTCAATGATCCAAATTAGCCAATCAACCAAAAAGTAAACAACGTCTTGTAGAAATATCGATAGCAAGCATACGTAGATGCAAGGAAAGTCCAAAAATGATCCA